CAGATAAATATATAACTATTTGTCACAGAATAATCTTTATCCAAGTTAATATGTTAAGGCACCTACAAGGAAAAAAGCAACTTGTCTGTGATTTTTATCAGAAGCAAGCTGTGCGGGTGTAAAGCCAGTATTATCGGAGATCATCAAGTCCTCCTTTTTGCCAGCCTGGACTAAAACTGTGCAAGCTTCTAGATTACCCTTAATAGCCGCCCAATGGAGAGGAGTGCAACCTGATGTAAAGATAAAACATGGTTAACAGAGAAAAATTATGCATGCAATCAAATTTTTACAACAAATTGTTTATACTAGATTAACCAGAAGAAATTCCCTAGAAATGGCACTTTAAATCTGAGAATCAGAAAATTACCCTCTTTGTCCTGACGCACTCTATATGCATCGAGAAATAAAAGAAGACGTATACAATCAGCGAAACCTTTATAAGCAGCCCTAGTGTTGTCCATATTGAAACAAAAAAAAAAAGTTAGAATAAAAATTACACACCTGATATAAACTTCATTAAACAAACAAGCAATTTGTAGGAAAACGAAATGAAGTAGTCAAAATATGCAAGTAAACTTGTTAAATTTAAAGCATTAACTCAATGAGAGATTTCAAAAAAGGAAAATAGATCACAAATCGAAGAACTCTTTGACATTTTCAGAATGAAAACAACTATGATAAAAATTACACAAGTTGGTTAAATTCTGATCATAAAATTGTAAATCAAGATTCACAAAGGTCAAGCACTTTGCAGGAGCCTATTACTATCATGACTAGGCATAAAAAAATCTTGAATGAAAACTGTTTTATAATTAAAATATTCTGGGTGTTTAAAAGTAGTCTTGCTCACCAGAAAATGGATAACAATTTTTTCATCACAACAAGTAAGTTCCTCAGTTAGTTAAAAAGAAATTTGAAGTAGCAAAGAAATTGATGGAAGATAACAAAGCATTGCTAATACTATAGAAGGAAAATAATCAAGCCAAAAAAATGCAGATATTTAGATACAAAGAAATCAACACCATCACAGTTCCTTATGTTAAGAACATTCAAGCGAATAAGAGTAAGCTGTATGTAGAACTCCTCATGTACCAGTGCAAAGGGCTTCGGCCGTCATTATCAGGAATATCAGGGTCAGCATTCCATTTTGAAACAATGTGATAGAGAAAAGCAGTCTGACCATATTGAGCAGCAACATGTGTTGTCTGCATCAAATTACAGTTAATAAGTAAGCATCCATCTGGAGGTGGAAATAAGAGCAAGAAATACATCAATTCAATTATTATCCCACAATTAAATTGTAAAACACAAATCATAAGCATAAAGTTTGAGAATTAAATTAAGTAATAGAAACCAACCCTCGTGTTCTAGACTTCTAGACAAATAACATCTCTAAAAAAATAATAATAAATGTATCAGCAATAGCAGCAAAGAAAAACTGCATAAAATTGCATCTGATTGTGAAGATAACAGAATGAGAAAAAATTAGAACAAGAAAAAATAAAAGACAAGGGAAGGGAAGGGAAGGGAAGGGAAAATATAAGGGGGATCTTAGCATGTTAGCAAGCCAGAGTCAACAAGATAGTATAGCATGAAATGCTATGCTTTCAAGCTGTCTTTGAGTTCCTACTTTCTAGACAAGTAGGAGTAATGGGAATGAATATGATCTCCAGCTATATAACAGCCTTAAATGTTAGCAAAAATATATCTTATTTAAGCCTCAAAATATCAATATGATCTACCTAGTTTATCAAAACCCTATATTGCTGACTTTTAATGCTCCCAAATGCCTATGCAGATATAAACCAACCTCAAGCAGAGGAGAATTTCTAAAACAGCTAGCCTTGCTTAAACATTAATTTACATCACAGATCAGGTGATCACTCTCCTGTCACAATCCATTTTGAGGGAAACCATACTAATTTTTTGAATAAGAAAGAATATTAGACAAGGCACCACAATGAAGAAAAACTAACCTGGTAGCCATAGATGTCAGCAGCATCCACCCTAGCACCCTCTTGAAGTAAAAGCTCAGCAACTTGTATTGCACCCCGGACAGCACACCAGTGCAAGGCGGTCTGCCCGGTGTGATCTGTCGCATTTAAATCTCCACCATGCTGCAAATTAAGGCAAACCAAAAACTTCAGTTAAACTGAATTTAATCCAATGAAAACTACCATGACACAACTAAACCCTCAAATTCAAACAACTCCAAAAATAATTTCCAAAACTCAAAAGCATGTAATCCCAAAATCTAGTTCAGTAAACCCATTAAAACCCAATTTAATAGACCTTTTAAAGAAAACAAATTCCATAAACAAGATACTAAATAAACCCAGTTCAATAAATCCAATAAACTTCAACTGAAAATTTCAAAAAGAAAATTTCCAACTCTGACAATAAAGCCAATTCAGCAAATCCATCAAAACAACAACAAAAGGGAAAAAAAAAAGGATAAAAACCTCGATGATGTACTGAGCAGCGGCGGTTCTATTATTCAAAGCAGCCCACTGGAGGGCATGGTAACCAAGGCTATCGGGCTCAGAAACAGAGCAACCCTCCGACTCAACCAACCTATGGAGCTTCTCCAAATCCCCATAAGCAGCAGCGGTGTAGACATCGTTCCTCAAGCTCTCATCATCAGCAACCCCACCAACGATCCCATTATTCCCTCCATAATTTCCATTTCCATTCGCTACAATACCACCACCACCCGATTGCTTCAAGGGTTGAATCTCTTCCACCACCTCGATCTCCGACGACATCTCTGAAAACCCCAACAACAAAAGAAAACAATTTTTTTTCCTTTTCAATGATCTGGGTTGACTTTTTTTTTCAATAACTTTGTTTTATAGCTTTTATTTTTAAATGGAAATGTATGGGGTCGGTTAGGGTTTTCGCGGAAAGAGAGGCGGGACGGCAGTGTTTGGGGGGGTCGTCGCGCTTTGGCGTCCGTGCCGTGTTGACTGATGAAGGCCGAAGCCAAAGCCAATTAGCCTAAACGATAATCCGTAGGAATTAACTTGATTTTGACAGGGCGTAGGGCAGGCTGTTCCTGTTTCAGGCAATATAAAATTTATTTTATCCATTGCTCATTGTATTTTTCAATATTTTCACATTACCCCCTTCAAATTTACCTATTTACATAATTGTACATGGCCTTTTACTTTGTTTTTAGCAACTTTAATTGCGCTGGCTGTATTTATTAGTATCATAAATGTTGGAATAATTAATGATGTATTATTATGTGATAATAATAATTGCCTACATATATATCATAAATCCATCTTGCACTATATTTAGTTTTAGCTTATATAACTATTAACATTAGATTGATTTCAAATATTAGTGCAATTAAAGATGTTCATAAATTGAATTGATTCAAATGACATTTTTTAAAATTTGTCTAAGACCCGGATAATCTCGCATGTTTAAATTTGTTTAATTTAAATTAATTAATAAAATAAAAATAATTATATTTTAATACTTTAATTAAAATATTAAATAACAAATCAATATTCAATAAAATATTCCAGCCCGTGATGCAATCAATATTGAATTACAGATCTCTTTAGGAAGTACAAGCCCAAAGCTAACAATTGGGCTAGATCAAGCCCACTATAAAAGCTGACTTGGGCTGGATTGGTCCAGTCCATGAAGCCCACTCTAGACCATTTAAGGGGGTCCGGTTTTATTTTGCCTCCGTTAGAGCTGACGAGTGTAAAAAAACATTGAATACATTTTGCGTCTTATTTCACCTATAATTTTTTTTATTATAATATATAATTATTTAATTATAATAAAAAAATTAAATAGAGATTCATTATTTATATGTATATATTTCATATAAAATTTTGATAATTATCACATAAATTTAAATTATGATTGATTAATTATATTTTAATAATTATATGTGACATGCTCTTATATCTAAAGATGTTAATAGATAGGGTATAGATAGATAAAGAATTTTCATTTTTCATTTATTATTTTTATTTTATACTCGTTTTTATATTCATATTTAATAAGTATTTAAATTTGTTATCATCTTCCATCTTACAATTATGTTAAATGCATAAGACGATAAATTAGATAAATAATAATTATTTTATGTCATTTTGATTTGTTTATAAAAAATGGAATAGGATTATAAGAAAGATTAATCATCTACTTTACATGAGATGATTTAATTCTTTCCAAATGAAAATTAATTATTTTTAATATATAAAATTGAATTTATATGTCTTATTATATTCTTAAAAATTACCTTAATAATTTAAATCATATAAAAATTGATAAAAAAAATTTAACCTATAAATAAATTTAACATATCTTAATCTTTGCATATATTAAATACAAAATCATATTATTTAATATAATCTCATTCGTATATCATTTTATCATATTTTATTCATAATTTTATGCACTAAACATACTAATATTTAATGAGTAAAGATAATTTTTATACCTATAACTTTATAAAATATAAAAAATAAATTTTATTTTTAAAATTTTTATCTTATATTTTTATGTAATTTTTTATAAATATATATTTTAAATAAAAATAGATAATTTTAATTAATTAAAATAAAATATTATTATTAAATAAAAATATTTATTAAATATATAATCTAAGTGCAAAACATGTGCTATATTGACCATTTCTTACCCATACATAATATAAAAAATATAAATTATACTAATTCGCGTCCCTATCCTAAAATTTCATATATAACTTTATTTCATTCGACTCTTTGAATTTGAAATTCGGGTAAAACTGTCATCTTCAATTTGAAAAAAAAATTTGTACTTCTAATCTCATTAATTAAAGTAGGCTCCACCAATCAAATCTTCGAACCACACACAGATAGAAACCTGATTGGACAAGTGCACCATGTTTTCGTGGTCCCAGTAGCACATGATTCTCTTCCCAAATTTGACGTTAAAATTATTCAGACACTGGATCCAAAGCGTCAACGTCAAAAAAATCTTATAAATACTGTATAATACGCACACCATAAAAGTCAATTTCTCTTCTTTCCACTCCATTTACCTCTTTTCATCCAATAATCTCCTTTCATCTTTCTTGGAAGTTACAAAAACCAAACTTGGTAATATCAACTTTGGCACCCAAAACCCTAATCCGGACCAAGCCCTAGGGTTTACCCTAACCGGACCCAGACCCATAAACCACTCTGCTCAGGTCTTCTCTTCCTCTCTCTCTCTCTCTCTCTCTCTCTCTCTATCTTCACTCTTTTTTCAAAGTTCTATTTTTTTACTAACTGCTTGTATTTTTTTTCTATAGAAAGTGTATTTCGTAGCATAGTTAAGGCAGCAATGGAGGTGGGTAGTTTCAGCCCATTTGAAAAGAGCGTCTGGGTATGCTCTGTAATGGAAGCTTTGGTGGCTGAGACTTTGGTTCTTGCTGGAAAGTCTCTTGCTTGCCTTCTCATGCTGGTATAGTTACTTTCTTCGTTGTAAAGGCTTTTTTTTTTTTTATTTTGAAAGTTGTGTTGTTTGCTTCATTTGCTGTGTTCTGCTTTTTGGGTTTTGTCTCAGAAAAATTATATTTGTTTGTTTACAAGGTTTTTGCTGCTTGTATTGTGCTATTCATGCCTTTTTTTTTTCCTGAATTTTGGTGGTTGACCTTCGCTTGACTTGGTTGAGGTTATTGTAAGCTGCTATGGTGTTAAAATTGTTAGGTTTGCTGTTATGAATTTGTACATTGGTTGTTGTTGTTGTTAAGGGCAAGCTTTGCTTTTGGCGATTGAATTTGTGTAGACAGACTGACCGTTGGGGGTCATAAGTTTTCCTCTTTAACTTGCTGCCTGGGGGGCCCTACACCTTTTGGTTTTTAGTTGGATTCAGCACAAAATACCAGAACCCTTCTGCGCCACTTTTATTGGTTTCTGACCTTGAATGGGACATTCCTCTGCACACCTTCTAGTGCTTGGAACGTTTTCTATGTTACCGTTTGTGCGAATACAATGACATTTATATTGAGTTTCAATGTTTACTACCAAATACCAATTATCAGAGGATTTTTAACATTAGAGAACAAGTTGATTGGGTAAGATCGCCTTCAGGACTATGAATTTGGGGGCCCTGGATCAAAATTTTCGTTGCTGTAAGTAGGTCTAGTTTGCCTTATTAGCTTTTACGGCTCCAAAATGATATTTAAGGATTTTTTAGGGTCTTGATCTGTGGCATTAGGGTTAATTGCTGACTTAATTTGCAACATCTCCGTATATCTTTGTTTGATGAATATAATTGTTTTAATATTTGAAAGAGGTTTTAACATGTCAGTATTATAAAAAGCCTGGCTTGCAAATAAGCACTATATTGAGTTGGATAATCGTTGTTCCTCGTTATCTGCAGCAATTAAGTCAACCTTTCCTTCCACTTGCTTCTCCGATCTTAATTATGTTCAGATTTTTAATATTTCATCATATGGTGGACTTGAATTGACGAGGGAAACTTATTATTGTTGCTTTGTAACATTGTTAAATGCACATAGAAGCCTGTTGTCTATGGGAAGCTTACATCATTCATTTGTTTGTTGTATGTATTTTGCCTAGGATCCTTTTTAAAATGATTTAAGATTGTTGTTGCAGACAGGATCAGTGCTGAATGATATGAATGCATCACTTAATTTGACTGCAGTGGATGAGAGGTAGTATATTCCTTTTCTTTTTCTTTTTAATTTATCATTAATGGTTGGTAAGAAGAAATCTGACAGCTTGGTGGGATTGACTTCTATTTCAGGTTTCCATTTGATAAACTTCTCAAAATGGAACATCCTGGTACAGAGAACAAAGATGCCAGTGATACAGAGGAAGATGATGAAGATGAAGATGATGACAATGCAGATGATCAGGATGATGATGCAGGTGATGAGGATTTCTCAGCTGAGGAAGGTGAGGAAGATGATCCCGAGGATGACCCTGAAGCCAATGGGGATGGAGGGAGTGATGAAGAGGATGATGACGGCGAGGATGATGATAGGGATGAAGATGACAGTGATGAAGATGAGGAGGAGGAGGAAGACAAAGAAGATGAGGAAGATGAGGTTCCTCAGCCACCTTCTAAGAAGAGAAAGTGAAACTAATCATAGGCCTGTAGATCTTCTATTTTTTCTTTTTTTTTCCCCTGGGTGAGGAACTTCAGTAGGGAGGGAGAATTCAGCATGTGTGTTTGCATAATAGAAGATTCACAATCCTTTGTTCTGAATGAACCTTATTTTTTTGCATTTGTCATGTACTCATGTTACAGTTTATGAAGATATAATACATATTATTCCATCGTGGATTGACTGTGATTCCTATTTGTTCCGTAGAACTTGTAACTGTTACCTGCATCTAATACTAGGACTGTTTAATATGTCTTGGGATTTTGTATTAACCTGGTAGGGTTTGTTGAAATAACTAACCGGAAAGTGGAAACTGAATTTTATTCAGTTATGTCAGCAATTAACACTGCACTGGAGCGAAATAGCTGATCCTGCACAGAGACCTGGCTTTCCCAAAAAGCCAGAAACTGAGGTGAACCTGAGGTTTTCATACCTTAAGATTAAGACCTTTAGCATTGCATTTGGATTTCAAAAAATAATTTTTGAATGCAAAAAAGATGCTAAATATAATATAATTTGAGTTAAAAAGTATTTTTTTGACCACTAAAAATGAACCAACAACAAAGATAATTTATTTAGCGAACCAACAACAAAAGATAATATAAAGGTGCAGTTGTTATTTAAAATTTATAGCTTAGAAATAGAGTGACAAAAGATTTACTTTATTATTTACTTTTGACAAAAAAAAAAAACTTATTTTTTCTTTTCAACATCATTTTCTCATTTTCTCTTTAGATATTTCAAATTTTTACAATAATGCCAAATATTCAAAAATCTTAAATCATAATTTTTTATGATAATTTTTGCAAACGTATTTTTTTCAAATCAAACTTGCTTTTTAATCGTAACAACAATGCTAAATTTAACAGAAAATCTGACACGGGGAGGTATTGTTCCAAGCCTTGGCACAAAAGAGCACTGCCTTATCTGGTTAATGTAGTTAAAGGTCACATTTATAAATTCCTTTTTTTTTTTTTTGTGTGTAAAAGGTGCAAAATGCGGTCGAGCAGAACTCGGCACAAGGAAAATAACTCTTAGAGTGTGATTGGTTGGGAGGAATTTATAAATTTTCTCTGAAAATTTTGATGATGAGTATCTAATTTTTATGTTTGATTCAAGATAATTTGATTATAGATAAAATATCATATTTTTAATAATATCTAAATTTCAAAATCAAAATTTTATTTTTCTGTGGGTATTCTAAAATTTCAAAAAAAAAAATTATCTTAATTTTAAATTTGAATTGAATAAAATATTATCACATAACCATTACCTTCATGAAAAACATGTCTAGAAAGTGATTAAAAATCAATTATAGGTTTTTGTCAGTTTAATTTTTAATTTTTTTTTTGTATTATAATTAAGACATTTGACATGAAAAAATACATTAATTGTAAATCAATTAAAACGTTTAACTTGAAGAAAATTCCTTAATTGATGATTTAAAGTATTTGTGAACACAAACACCTTAAATGATTCAATTTATATATTATAAAAGATTATCATTTAATATGTTTGTATACACCTTAAATGATTGACAAATTAAGGCACTATAAAAAATTTATAGAACAAAAAAACGTTAAATGATTCTTTTATTTTTTTTTAATAAAAGATCACAAACACCTTAAATGATATAATTTATATATTATAAAACTAGATTATTTAAAATAATTTTATATACAAACTTTTTAATTGATCAATTATAAAAAAATAAAAAAATCATTTAAAAGGTTAATATTTTGAAATGCCTTAATTGATGATATTTTATATTTATTATTAATAGCACAAAAAAAATTTATTGTCATATATGTCAAAAAAATTATAATAATTATATAAAATTTAATATATGTAAATTCCTCTTAAAATGAATCTAAATATAAAATATCTTTAAAATAAAAAAATTTTCCGTGTATTGCACTTTCCCACATATCATACTTTCCTCCAAATTTTAAAATTTCGCAAACCGAACAACTATAGATCATTTTTTTATTGGCATCTTCCATCCATAGGTGATTGTGAAATTCTGAATTGCATTAAAACCACCGCTCCAGCGTGTTCGGAGTTTGGGCTTGGGACCGAGGAATGTTGGAGACAAATCTGGGGCTGGTGATGGTTGAATTGGCAGGATAATAGAAAAAAACCACATCATAGACAAAATTGTAAACACAATCAACAGAAATTCATCTAGAATACCCACAGAGGCAGAGACCAGACTAGTTAAATTAGTTATTCAAACTGTCTGTCAAAGAGTACTAAATTGCAATAATAATTATGTTCATTGCTAATGACACAAGGTCTCAGAATTGTGCATTGAGAGGGTAAAAGCTATTAGCTCTCTTCAAAAGGAAGATGATAAACCTTGCTTCTCTACCATTGTTTGCATGGTCTCGTTACATGGATTGACATCATAATCATAGTGCATGACGACCTATAAATGGAAATAGCACAGTAATAGATCACATCAGTGAGTCAAAAAAAAAAAGCAATATATATATATATATATATATATATATATAGACACACACACACAACAATAATTAGTTCTGACTTTGCAGTTAAGTGAAGAATTAACTACCAATATAAAAACCATTCAAGATCGCTCCCATCATGAACAGTCAAGTAATTAACAGTTTAATATCAACCACAAAGCATGTCCTCTCAGCAAATATAGACAGAGAAAGAAAAGAGAGAAATCACACAGGTTCAATAGGATAAAGCTCTTAAGAGAAAATAGCACATCTCAGGTGTCTCCAGCATAGTTTCCTAACAAGAAAGAATGCTCAGAAACATCACGCTCAGTACCTTCATGCCTTGGGATAAACATAGGGAACTGGATAGGTGAAGCTCAGTTCAAGGGTCTCAGATTGTTTTGCCGGCTAACGGGTCAGTTTGAATAAAGAAACTCAATAAGATGGCTTAGCAAGACCCCCCCAAAAAAAAAAAGGGATAGAAAGAGAGACCAATGCCAGGGGAGGAGATAGCTAAATGGATTACATAGTCATTACTGCTTAGACATTGATGAACTTAAGCCAGCTCTTCAAGTCCCATTATGGATGAGCTTATGGCTCCTAAAACAACAAATGAGCAACTTTGCATTGGATAAATGGACTCCTAAAACTCAAAGAAGTAAATCAAGTCAGCAACTCAACATTACTATCTGTTTGACCAATGTGATTTATATTAACATTTTTGCAGATAGATATTGACAGCATATTTCACCAGACTTAGGTCCCCAAGTGGATTAATGAAAATAAAAAATCCATAAGGAAGAAACAAGTGGCAAAAACCTGATTGATGAGGCACGAAGCACGTAAAAAATAAATAAAAATTGAAAAGTTATGTTAGTAATATAAGTAACAAGAACAATGGATATAACAATCAGTTAAGAACTTAATAAAATATGTTTGCAAGAGACAAATAAATCAAAACCAAATTAAACAAACAGCAACCCTTACAGATGATTATGATAGGGAAGATGCTTAAGACATACAATGAGTTTGTAGATAAAGGCTACTGGGAACAACCAAAGAACCAACAGTGAACTTTTCTTCCAAGTTACAACATACAAAAGCAACCGATAAAAATATGCTCTTCATCAATACATAAATCAAGAATCTCTTCATAATTTTTTATATAGCATTTGGGTTACTTTTTCACACTAAAACCCAAAGGGTTCGGTTCTCATAATTCAAGAATTGAGATAGCATATGAAGTATATTTGTATTTATCAATTTCAGCACTGTTTAGTTATGATACGGTATTTGTGATCTATACACTATACAACACGGATATATGTTGCAACTTGCAATAATTCATACCATAATAAACATATAGCACTCAATATAATAGATTCACAACAGACTTTAAACTGCAAAACAAACAAATTAGCATCACCAAAAACCCATAATAACAAGCAGCTATAATCTCATCCAACATTAATGGGGGCAAGAATCACATCAAAAACCATTTAAAACAATCTATAAACAAACAAACAAACATCATTATAAAACACAAAGAAAAAAATTATGTAAACCATCTTTCAAATAACAACTTTTGAAATCGTCAAGCCAAGGAATTAACCTCAAACTCACATTGCTAAGGCAGCTTCCCAGACCTAAAAACAGCAAACTTTGTCATCTTAGAGTAAGAATAGCCAATCCCATTTTCCTTCAAGAACTCTTCAAGCAATTTCTTAACTCCATCGGGATCCCCATTCTCACATTCGACCTCGTAACAAATACCAAATTCATACTTAGTCTCATCTACTTCAAGCTTCAAATTTTTCCAATCAAAAACTTCTCTTTTATTTTCAAACCCACCTAAACAAACAAACCCCATTTCTTCCCCAACCCCAAATTCCTCTTTCACTCTGTTCAAAATCCTCGACCCAATCTTCCCCAACCTCGCCGGGTCCTCCACGCAAGCGCGTGCGTTGCATGGGTCTAGTTCCTCCTCGTCTTCCTCCACACGGCTGACACCATCTACCAGAGTGGGTTTAGATTTGAGGGAAATGATGCAGCGGGCATCGTTGTTGAGGAAGCGGAGACGAAGAACGGAAAGCTGCGACGAAAGGGTACTTGTTGGTGTGTCGAAGAAGAGATTTTGTTGGTGGAGGGTTTTGGAGAGGAAAGGAGAGAGGATGGTGGTTAGTTGACGGTGGGCAGCGGCATCTTGTAGGTGGATCTTCACTTCGACTTCCATTAGGGGGAGAGGCCGATGCGTTGGACCTTGGAGGTGGGGTTAGGGAGGGAGCGATCTACGAGTTGGAGAAGGGAGGAGGAGGAGGAGGTGGTGGTAGTGGCGGTGGGAGGAGGAGGGGACGGTTTACGTGAATCTTCGAGTTCTTGTTTGTCTTCGAGCTTGACTTCGATTTTGGTGGGTTTTCTTCTCAGCATCTCTTTTTGGCGTGACAAGATGAAAAAAAGGTTTACTTTACTCCATTCTCTTGTTTCATTCGAATCAGAGCGAGCAATATCAGAATCTTTTATATTCCTCCGCACCAGTTCACATCATGCGTAGATTTTCTGAGTAAATTTCACTTATGGACCCTAAACTTTGGCCATAATCTCATTTATGTTACTAAATTTTAATTTATTCCATTAAGATCATTGAAATTTTGTAAGTATATTAGATTTAGTCACTTAGACAGATTCTATCCAAATTAATTGATAAAAAATGACGTGACGAACATTTCAATGTCACATCATTTGCCACATCTACTAATTACATATTTTTAATCTGAAAAAAAAAAATCATTTTGAAGTTTTTTTTTTTCTCCTAATAGGTTTCCACTCTCTCGCTACTCTCCCATGAAAGAAAATCAAGCCACCCACAGTAAAACGGTGAAAGTATACACACAAAGAACTCTCTACACGTAGTGCCACTGCTTGTGTAATTTGAAACACATACCTTAAACATATTTAAGCCCACTAAAAAGATTGACATGTTGCTTTCAACCATTCCCTCTCTGCTTAAACCAATTCTTACAAGATTTTTTATCCCTGATCCCGAACAAGAAACTTCAATTGTAGCATTGATTTTTTTTTTTTTTTGTTACGTTAAGAGTATAAAGCTTTAATATAAATAAAAATTAGACCTTTAATATTTTTTTAAATGTTTTTTTTAATCACTAAGTTAAAAGTTCGAAAACATTGTAATATTGATTTGAAATCATGAACAGGTACACTCAATGTCTTTACAGATTGATAGGGGTGAGCAAAATCGATTTGAATCGATTAGATCGATCGAAATCAAGCGAATTCGGTTGAATCGGTTTAATTTTTTCGATTTTAGTTATAATCAATTTTTTAAATCGATTAAATTGATTAATTTGATCGGTTTTTGATTTTTAAAATTGATACTCGCATTAATCGAATTAACCGACTTTCTAATAATTAAAAATAAAAAAAATTGAGATAAATATTTTTATTTTTTTTTGTAAAATATTGTTGAAATTGTTAAATTCTTTAATAATTTAATTTGAATAATACTAGAGTTTGAATTTTATTAAATTAAATTTGTGATTAAATAATTAATAATAATAAAAAAAATGATAAAAAATCGATTATTTAACCGAATCGAACTGATTTTGATCGGTTCGATTATGATCAGTTATTTAATAATATTCGATCGATTCGATTATTTGTTAAATGAAAATTGATTAAATCGATTATCGATACTTTCAAATTGAACTGATCAAACTAACCATTTACTCACTCCTACGTATTGACAACCAAATCACAAATGATAGCAAACAAACAGCTGCATCAATAGCAAGAACAATCCAGACTTGGCGTCACCACTGTCTTCGAATAGCGATTATATGGGGGTGGCTTGATTTTCTTTTGAGAGGGTGAAAATTTAGAGAGAGAAAGAAAAAAATAAAAAAAAAAATTTAGATTATAGGTATTTAATTAGCAAATGTGGCAAATGATGTAATGTTAATATGTTCGCCACATCATTTTTCTGTCAATTTGATATACTTAATAAACTTTAGTGATCTTAATAGGATAAATTAAAGTTCAATGATATAGATGAAATTATGATCAAAGTTAAGTGATCATGGATGAAATTTATTCTAGATTTTCTTTCAAAAGAATTTTAACTGAATGGTTAACATTTTAGTTAAGATTAAGGGGATTGAGGTTCCATTTTTGTTTAAATTCATTTAATAAAATTGTTAATGTTGATATAAATGGATTGAATTTTATCAATTATCATTGAGACATAATTTAATCTCAAATGCACAATTTTTTTAATATGTACATATAAGAAAAAAAAATTTTGATTTGTAAAATCAAAATTTTTTAATCACAAAGTTTAAAATTTTTTTATCCTTTTTAATATTGAAGTTGCAATAAAAACAAAATTTTTAATCAAAAATATTTTTGGATTTTGATAATAAAAGTGATTTTAATCTTAAATATACAATTTTTTGTAAACCACACGTCATCTTAATATATATATATATATATATATATACACACACACTAGATTTTAACCCATGCTATGTCACAATAGTTTATTTAAAAAATATGATCTAATCTAATTAAAAAATATGATATTATTTAAGTAAATAGAATGTAAAATAATCAAATGATTTGTTAAATGTTGATGTGCATATTTAAATTAAATAAGTGCCACATTCAAAAGTTTTTAATGAATTCAAACTAAATGAAGAAGATATAAATAGGTTTAATGTAATTCTTTAATGTTTATAATTGATATAAGACAGATGCAATCTTGCAAAATTAAACAATTAAACAAATACGAAAGAGAAACAAAAGTGTGAGTTACTTCACCTACTTAGTCACTAATTCAGTTGTAATAAAATATATCAAATGCATAGTATTAACTTTGTTAACCATATGTAAGGTTGAAAAAATAATTTGTGTATTGTTCATGTAATTAAATAAATAAGATATTGGAAAAGACATTTTAATTTTGTTTAAATTCAAAAACTTGTCATGATTTAACTTTTCAAGAGATAACACAAGTTTCATCATAATGAAGAAAAATTGTAACACATTAGTACTATAAAAGAGAAAGATAAACATGTTGAAAGGATGCAGTAATTAAGGAAGCTAAAGACTGAAAAAAATTATTGAGCATCAATTTCATCAAGTTAATTCTACAAATTCTTGCTCCAATATCTTCGCATTGTAAATCTCAACCTTCTATGTAGAATGCAACTTCATAATTACATTTAAATGCAGAATTCAAGTAGGAAAATAATACCTTTTCAAAGAGCTCTCTTGCATTCTTAAGATTGGACCAAATGGAAAACATACAGTTTTTGTTCCCCCTTTGTTGGCATTTGAAATGATTAATAGGTGAAAAAGTGGATGCGAATATATGATGGCTATTGATTGCCAAAAATAGAGAATGGAATATTTCAAAACATACAAAACTTATAATTTCCCTTTTTAAGTGTCTATATTATTCGATTGATTAACAATTTGAAATCGCTTTTATTTATATTTATAATTTTAAAAAAATTATAATTATGATATAGATAATAATCATAAATATATTACCAACTGGGTTTTTTCTAAACGAAGCCTGGATACTTCATTTTATCGGTCCAACTAATCTAACCCTAAATCATTTTAATTGAAAATATTAATCTGAAAGTTATTTAAGAGATAAATGAGGTTTTTGGAGACGATATCAAATCCTGAAAACATAAAGCACCAGGCTCACCACACTAAACAAAAATAAAAGTTCATATAGATCATAACAATTTCAAGAAGGTGGTAAGAAAGAGACAAAAAGATCTCATTTCACTTACAACCTTGTAATGTGAGACATATAACTTTAACACATTAGTATATATCTATTTTATTAAACAAAAATAAAAATATAAAACCCGAAATTGATTTGCAATTGCTATGAAATCTCATGTTAACCTTGCTAGACCTTGACAATGAAGGGAAACATATTAACAATGTGTATGTTTTGTTATTAAAGAAGTATATTAACAATGTGAAAAGTTTCATCGATAAGAAAACTCTTCTTCAACAACAATTTTGTCCTCAAGTTGGAACATGTGAGCCAACGTCCAAACCTATGCCATGAAATGAACAAAATTTTTCATCAAAACTTCAAGCCACCTTAAGAGGAATTGAGATTGAAAACAACTATAATTAATAATTGATTAAAGAGTACAACCTAATTGACATATTTGAAAAAAAAAGTGATATGATAAAATATACATTCTTTAAACTTATATAAAAAAGAATAAGAGATAGTCTAATTAAGCTCATTCTTAGTTCAATACTATAACATTTACCAGCAATATATACAATATGAAAGTTCACGTGAAAAGATTTATATATAGCAAACAATTACTTTTGAGGTTTTGAAGTTCATAAATGTAGAAAGCAAAGAGTTAGATGTCACCAATTTAATTTATAAAAACCAATCATCACATACATGTATAAAACATAAGGTAAATTGAGTACATAAACTTCATATTGGTTGTCATACATGATGATCCAAAATTTATGACTATCTTTGCATATGCTCATTTCAAATGTTTAATTGGAAAAAAGACATCTACATCATCCTAGTAACATTCAGAACGTTGTTATGTGTTGTAATGCTAATTTTAGTCTTTAACGACTCTAGACTTAAATGATAATACTTGTACACTTTTTATCACCCTTTCCATTTCAAATTATCATCTAAAACTCTAAATTTTTAAAGCATTCTCAAAGTCCATTTCTCACCAATTATTTACTCTTTTCTTTTAATTTTTTCTCCAAATGGGATAAATTAAAAACCAATTTTAAATGATTAAAAAAGCACACTCAATTGTTGACACATCTCACCAATAAAGGGCACATGTTACCTACCTTATCTCCCACCCCTTTCTCTTGTTTGTCTTCTACGTTTCAAATATGCCTTTCCTTTCCCACCACATCAGAACCCAACCATAACCTCGACACAACAAATAACCCTCCCTATGTCTCATTTTCATGATTTAACCACTACGAGAAATATGACTTTTACTAATAGATTTTTTCTTCAATAATACTTTTACCAATGAAAAAATTTTGTCGGTGGTAAGCAAGTCGATAATGCTATTCTTTCAGTGGAAGTCAAATTTCATCGGTAATTACTGATGTAAATCCATTAGTAAAAGGTTTGCCAGTAATTACCAATAGAAATCAATTGTTAAAAAGTCAATTTTACCAACTGAAAAATTCATTGGTAAAAAACCATCTATAAAATTTGTCGATAATTTCGTCAATAATACTTATTTTTTAGTTATATTTAATATATTTTATTATAAT